CTTAAACGTCATCTTGTTTTCGTGCATCGGCGACCGGTTATTCCGCTCCGGATATCCACGTGAATTTCATGAGCTTCGATTCTTGTCTTTCTAGGGCATTACTTGCTTAACCCGACGCAGTTATTTGATACAGAAGGGCACAGTCATCTTGGCTCGATCTGCCAATGACCCCCTGAAAACATGGAGTCGCCTTCGTACGCCGGCCAAAAGCGCAAAGTCGCCGACGTCGACATGAGCTCTGAAGATGATGCGCCCACGACCAACGGCTTCAAGGGATTCGCCAGAGCCGCCTCCCGATCCGAGTCACCCCCGTCGATGGGTGGACTAGGCAGTGGCAATCGCAACCCGCGCAACAACATGGCCAACGCCCGAGGCGGAGGAGCGTCGCGGGGAGGGAGAGGAGGCATGGGAGGAGGCGGAAGCTCTTTCGCTGCGCGCATGATGGCAAAGATGGGCTACAAGGAGGGACAGGGTCTCGGAACCACTGGTCAGGGTATTGTCAACCCGATCGAAGTACAAGCGCGCCCGCAGGGCGCAGGTTTGGGTGCAGTCAGCGAGAAGTCGAAAAAGACCCGCGAGGAAGAGCGACGAGCGGCCGCTCAGAAGGGCGAGATTCTTGAAGACAGCTCCGAAGATGAGCGCCAACGACGAAGAAAGAAGAAGGAAGAGCGCAAGACACCAAGCCGTAGTGGCACAGGCACACCGGTCCAGCGGGCCAAGCTTAAGTTCCGGACAGCGCGCGAGATAGAGGATGATATGGAAGGACTAGAGGTTCCCAATGTTCTCAAATCGCTCGTCGATGCTACCGGCAAGGAACAGCGCGTTATCACTTCCACCGCTGGCTTGATGTCAAGGCAAGAATTCGTCAGCCAGGAGGAAGGAGAAGCGTTGAAGATTGCCCGGAGAGCTCGGAATGACCTGGAAGCATTTGCAGACGAATGGAAGGGACTGACAGAGAGGAAAAAGTTTATTGAACTGGAAGAGGCTCAGGTCGTGGACGAACTGGATGCATATCAATCCCGGGTCGACCATCTTACGGGCCTAATCGCTGCAGTGGAAGAGCTGGACCTTTTCGAAAACGAAGAAAGCGTTGCAGCCAAGTTTGATGAGATGACCGGCAAACTTGAAGCCATGGAACTCACATACCGAGATGCCATTGATGAACACCGCCTGCCAGAGACTGCAGTTGCAGCTCTACATCCGCTATTCCGCCAGGCAATGGAGGAGTGGGAGCCTCTTGAGGATCCTACTTTCCTCGTATCCAATCTCACCCGTCTTCAGCCTCTTCTATCTCGCCAACAGAACAATGAAGAGTCGCGAAAACGGTCATCCACGTCCCCTTACGAAACAATGATCTATACCCTCTGGCTCCCACGAGTGCGCTCAGCACTTCTGAATGACTGGGACGTCTACGACCCATCCAAGGCAACCGCGCTGGTCGTGGCCTGGAAAGCGATCGTGCCTCCATTTGTCTATGCAAATGTTCTCGACCAATTGGTCGTTCCCAAGCTGGGTGTTGCCCTTAAGAACTGGAAACCCCGGAGTAGCCGACGACATGGCGCTTCCCAACAAGACGGAAGGTTCCCGTGGTGGCTGTTCACATGGCTGCAGCACTTGGGTGACAGACATACTAACCCAAAACAGCCCACGGGTCTCATGTCTGACGCAAAGAGAAAGTTCCGCGTAGTGTTGGATACATGGAGTCTGCGCAAGGGACTAATTGACGGCATCGAGCTTTGGCGGGATGCGCTAGGGCCTGAATTCGACGTATGCCTACGCAATCACCTTCTACCACGCCTTGCTCGTCATCTCCGCGAAGACTTTACCGTGAACCCCCAGGACCAAGAACTCATAGTCCTCGAAGATGTACTACGCTGGAAGCCATTCTTCCGACCAAATGTGATGGGACTGCTACTGGTCTCCGACTTCTTCCCGAAGTGGCACGAAATTCTCTACATTTGGCTCACCAACGATCCCAACTACGAGGAAGTGGGTGCCTGGTTCTCTTGGTGGCGCACCCAGATTCCAGCAGAAGTGAACGAACTCACCATTGTGGACGAAGAATGGAAGAAAGGTCTACAAACCATGGACCTTGCTTCCCAGCTGGGAGACCGCGCGGGTGCAGAACTTCCTCGCCCTAGCACCACACAGACCAAGCTTCCAAGTAGGGAAGATAAGGTGGCAGAAGCCGCAGCAGCAGCCGCAGCGGCTCCCGCTGAACCTCGCAAAGCCCCCATTGTGGAGGAGGTCGCCTTCAAGGATATCCTTGAGAACTGGTGTTTGGAGCAAGGACTCATCATGCTGCCTTTGCGCGAGGCTCACCCCCAGAATGGCCAGCCGCTGTTTCGTATCACGGCCAGTGCGACGGGCAAAGGTGGAGTTGTGGCATTTGTACAGGGTGATGTGGTTTGGGTGCAGAATAAGAAAGCTAAGGAAATCTGGGAGCCGATGGGACTGGAGGATCAATTGGTGGATCGTGCGGAGGGCCGATAGACAGATCATCGAGTACAGTGGAGTGCCTTTGGGGCTATGGATCCTTCGGACAGTCTCGACACCCAACTTTGTTTCGTCCTATCTAGTGTACAGATTGTGCTCCTGGCTAGATTTCGTGACCTGATCCAGCAGTATAGCCTTGGAGTTTCAAATAGTTACTGTTGTAATAAACATACTGCCTGTACGGCTTAAAAGCCCTCTTTTCGCCCGCCTTACTCTTGTCGGCCCCAATTTCAGCCGGGTGCAAGAAATCTGATTGTCGTGCGTCATTCCCAAATGTCGAGCAATCGGGCATTGCCCGATGACTTAATATAGAACAATGGTTTACTCCGCTTGATCCTACCGCGAGCCGGTGCCCTAATATCTCACTCATCCAAACCAGAAGACTCAACTATAGCCCTAACCCGTTCCCATGCATCGTAGTTCACTTGAAATAGACCACACCCAAGTCAATAGATAAACATCTCACCTTGAGCCTTATAAGAAAATAGGGACTGACCCAACCCACCCACCCGTGATCGACACTCCCATGAAACCAAGAGGCAACCCCAATCGTATCAGATCAAACAGTGATACATGGAAACCCCACAGCCAGTGATAAACATCTAAAGTTTCTCTTTCGTCTCGCACCCGGGTGAGTATGATTCAGCAGGACGCCTGACTCCACGTTTACGGCCCCTCGCTGTGATATCACCGGGGGCCCTACACGCGCATATAGGGTGTCATTGGCCCCCTGTAGTAGCAACCCTACAGCATTGTGATTACGACTGGATGAGTTGACGGCTTGTATGCTGCTCAGCCTTCCATCTCCGCGTTTTTAGGGAAATAATACCGGGCGCTGAGGCTCAATTGCGTTTATGGATTGCGTTTCAAAGGCTATATTTGGAACAGGTGTTATGAATATATGATATTTAAGGGGACTCAAGTCTATATAATATTTACAGACCTAAGTCTCTCATTTCAAGCAAGTATCTCCATCTCCAAGTTATTGTATACCTACCAAATAACCAACCATCAAGATGCACACCAAAATCCTCACCACACTTCTCCTCTCTTCAATGGCCCTGGCAGCCGACACGAGCGTCTCAAGCTCACCATCCTCAATCGAATCCGACTCTGCTGCCCCCAGCAGCATAATGCAAACAACCGTCAGCTCGGTTGTTAGCGCCACTTCCCTCCCCGGCTCATCCTCGGGTGTGCCTACATCGTCCACCGTAACTATGACTACCTCTGCCAAGGAAAGCGGAAGTGGATCTTCGTCTAGCTCTGCTGCAGAGTCTACTAGCACCGACTCTAACTCCAATTCGGGCTCGGACTCTACCTCAACTTCTAGCTCCAGTACTAGTACTGCGGCTTCGCCTTCGACCAGTACTGGTGCTGCTGCTGCTCCTACTGGGGCTGGGATGAGTCTTGCGGGTGCTGCTGGTATTCTGGGACTGGTTGTTGTTCTGTAGATGGAATGAGTGAATGAGTGAATGAGAGGGAATGGGGTGATGTCTAAGGATGTCTCTGTTCTTGTTTGGATACTGTTTGGGATGTGGTCTTGAATTCTTTCATTTGATTTGGTTTAATTACCTTTGCACCGCAGGTATGAGTGACAACGTGAGAGCGGTGGGGAAGCCACAGTGTTTGCTAGACCGATCGGAGTTAATGAATACGGGGAATTCGGACTCGGAATATTGTTCCAACGGACATAAGCCTACAATGCTATGAAAAGAGAGATCCCAAGCAACTAAAGAGCCATCAGGCTAAACTAAAAAAGGACTAGAAACGCCTTCCATCTGAGCCTTACAAATCTGACCAATCAGCGTCTCCATAATGTACCATATCGGGAAATAAGACGCAGCCAATCACAGGACAGGTAAAGGTCAGCACAACCTCAGTCACCAATGGCAGTCGCTGCATTGGAGGTTTCTCAGCACAAAACACCTCAACTACGTCGCCTGCAGCTCCTAGACCTCCAACATTGCGTTTGCTGACCTTTGTTTGGAATGTGATTGGCTCCGAGACATCCCCTTGACGAATGCATCTCCAATTTTCTTGGGTTGGCTTGCACTAAGTGGACTTATTGCTGTGCTTTTTTCTTCTTTGGCGGCAGTTGCTGAGACCGGTGAGAGCACTGTGGCACTGAGGAGAGTGTGTTAAAAGGGGGCATATGGCCGATCATTGTAGATGCTTTTTTTTACTTTCCATCTTCATAGTTCTTTGATACCTTCGTCATCCGCCTTCCTCGGACTTCGGATTTCCGTCTTATTCTTTTGGAATATCCCGATTGTCCTGAGCTTATCTACTTGAGACTATTCTCAGTCGTTGCCTGTTTCATACCTCTTACTTCAGTAATTGGCATTTCTCTGCCCTGACGTCAATTACGCCGCTTGCCACTGAGGTTTGTACCTTAAGAGCTCGATATCGCCGAAGCGACTCGCCGGAGCATCTAGATCAGATTTTTGGCACTCAAAAAGTTGCAAATCGACGTGACATATCGCGAAAACAAAACAGAACAAAACATGGCGTTCCTCTTCATCAAGCAGAAGCTCTTCTCAACACGGGAATCAGACAAGCTACCCGCAGGTAAGCAAAGAAGACCAGGGGACACAGATCCAGGGAAGATGCTAACATGATTTCCAGGGAAACAACGCCTTCTAGCTCGCGTCGACGACGATGAGACCATCCGCGGCGACTCTGACCAAGACCTCGAAGCTCAGAGCTGTCGATCCTATAACACATTCGGCAACGCCAGCCAGGACGAGTCCACAACCAGCGGCAGCAGCACTCGCTCAAGAATTAACCCGCGTATCGTCTCGGATGCCATCCTCGGTCTCTCAGATGGACTCACAGTACCCTTCGCCCTGAGCGCTGGTCTTTCGGCTTTGGGAAACACAAAAGTTGTTGTTCTGGGTGGACTGGCCGAGCTAGCAGCCGGAGCCATCTCCATGGGATTAGGAGGATACGTCGGTGCCAAGAGTGAAGCGTAAGTTGTCATCCATATATCATTCCAACTCCAAAGAAGAAGAAAGACTAACAAAATGCTCAGTGAATCATACGAAACAACCATCCGCGAAACACAACAATTAATCGAGAACGACCCGCAAGAAACTAGCTCTATGGTCCGCGAGACTTTCGCCCCATACGGTCTCTCAGACACAGCTATCGAGGATATTACACGCGACCTGCATGCCTCGCAAGACCGACTCTGCGAGTTCCTGCTTACATTCCACCACCGCGAGACAGAGCCTGACTGCAACCAAGCCTGGATCTCGGCCATCACCCTTGCAGTGGGTTATTTCATTGGCGGGTTCATTCCTCTCATTCCGTACTTTATCGTCTCGCAGGTTATGGTTGCCTTGTACTGGAGTATCGGTGTGATGGCCATTACCCTGCTGGTGTTTGGATATGTCAAGACCTGCGTCGTGCGCGGTTGGTCTGGGCGTGAAAATGTTGTCGCTGGTGTATGGGGTGGAGTTCAGATGTGTTGCGTTGGTGGTATTGCTGCCGGTGCGGCGATTGGGTTGGTGCGGTTGATTGACACGGGCAGTTCTTGATTCGGTATATGCTGTTCTACGATGCATATGTGGAGTTTTACTTTCTGGTTTCATCTCCGCTCTGGGCGTTCAAGGGGGGAAGGCTATAAAAGCTGCACGATACTCACGGCCATATCTCATACTCATACTCATACTCATACTCATACTCATCTCGCATAACGACAAATCTAACGATTCTCAATTTCTCAATACAAGACTATAATAAATTCCGTCAATGCTTAGATATATAAAAGTTACATAAAATCGATATCACCCCTGCAAAGCAATTCCAACCAACCGCACCGCATTATCCGACAAAGAAATCTTCAACGCCTCCTCCCTCCCACGCTCAGACATCTTCCCCCAAGTCTTCCTCAAAATATCCACCATCTTCTCCTCATCCCCAAGCTCCCTCTCAAACCGATCAAACTGATCATCCAAGAAAACCAAACAAGCAACATCCTCCAACGTCTGCGTATCCGCATCACCCTTCTTCAAATCCGTCTTCTTAACCATCTCCCCAACCCTCCTGGCCTCCTCAGCCGAATATCCACTCTCAAGACAAATATTCTCCACAATCTCCGCTTGCCGACGCTGTAACCCTGCGCGCCAGGAGTGGTAGCCGATTTTCGTGGCGGGGTAGCTGTCCCGCGGTACTTCCCAGCGGCGTAGGTGTTGTGCGCGGATTGCGAGGCGAAGGAGCTCGCCAGCGTCTGGGTTTAAGGTCTCGAGGTAATTTGTCATCTTTTGCGCGTAGTGTAGTTCGTAGGGGATTGGGCCGTTTGGGGTTTCGTGTTGGCGGGGGTCTTGGGAGTGCGCGGCGTCGATGCGCGCAAGGGCTGTTTCGTATTTGGACATTTTGGGTGGGTTATATGGGTGTATATGCAATATCGGGTTTGAATTACACGGCCTTTTTTTTGTCGATTTAGAGACAATTAGGTGCGCGTGGTTAACTTATGTCCGGAGTTGTTGCGGTTGTTAGCTTTCGATAAGACTATGCCGCTAGATCGAATTTGGTTTAGTTTGACTGGTAACTGGGTGGTTGTGATTGGACGAACTATACAACAATGTACAGTACTTTGGCGGTTACTATGAGATGGCTTTCAGTTTATTAACTACACTTGAGAAGGAAATATATCTTAATCAAATTAGACTGACACCAGAAGCAATGGTGCGTAATCTCTACAATCTATCTATTGGACATGTTATTCCACACTTTGCACAATCCGCAAAGGAAATCACCTAGATAACATAAGTGGCCTGCTGAGATTAGCCTGCGAGAAACTGTTCAAGTCGAGCCCCAGCACTGTCGTAATTACAACAAGTTACCGAAACAAAATTACAATCACGCTCGACTCTTCGGGAAAGCAAACAACTCCTGCGATCCACCCGAGCTAGGCGTCACCACCTCGTAAGTTCTCCCTTTATCCTTATCCTCAAAGATGCGAGCAACCTCTTCCAAAGACAATCCCTTTGTCTCAGGGAAGAACAAGTAGATAAGCACGAGGAAGACAATCAAACATCCCAGATAAACAATAAAGTACCTCCAGTGGAGCGCCGCAAAAGCCACGGGGTTCATGAACTGGTTAATAAAGCAAGCCAAGGAGTCAGTTGTCAACGTGACAGCAAGACCCTTGGCGCGTAGCTGGAAGGGTAGGATCTCCGCCGGATAGGCGATGAACAAGGGCATATACGCCATGTCGTAGCCTGCGCAGAAAAGGAATAGCATGGGCACGACTGCGATTCCAGCTTCCAGTACGCCGAGCTCTGAGAAAAGTCCTGACATGGTCGTTGCAGCGGCGAGATAGATCAGCATCAGAGTTGATGCGATTAGCCATAATTTCCGTCGTCCGTAGCGGTCTGCCGCCATTGCTCCGCCGACAGCAAACATCAAGTTCCATACTTGCATGCTGATATTTATGGCGGCTTGGTGAGATGCGTTATAAATACCCACCGATTGTAGGATGGGTGCTAGATAGTAGGAAACAACGCCTGTATAGAGACGCGTTAGCAACGTGATTTTGAACGAAGGCTGGGGTGGGGACATCTCTTACCATTTCCAGCCCACTCCTGCATGAAACCCAGCAACACACAGATTGCCAACCGATGCATATCACCGCGAGTCTTGAAGAAAGAGCTCCACCGCCGCGAATCTACATCCGCTTCGGCATTGATGCTCTTGCAAATCTGATAAAACTCATCCACAACCAATTCATCAGTCTCATCACCATTCGAATGATATTTCGCCAAAATGGCCATTCCCTCCTCCTTCCTGTCCCTCGAGACCAACCACCTTGGACTTTCAGGTACAAACAACAATCCAATAATTTGGAAGATTGGATAAAAGATCTGCAACAAGCAGGGGAGCTTCCACGACCAACTGCCCGCAACCCACAACCCGGCAAACCCAATCGAAGCCGATGTTATCGATCCAATGAACCACAGCGCATTGTATAGACCCGTGAAAGTCTGCCGTTGGCGTGGATGCGCGGATTCCGTGATGAGCAGTGGAGCTGCTGTCTGTGATATTCCGACGCCCACTCCCGCCAGGACTCGTGCCCCGAAGAAGATCCAGTGGTTTTGGGTGGCGACTTGGATTATTCCGGCGATTATCACTAGGGTTGAGCCGATAGCGACGCAGATCCGTCGGCCTAGATTGTCGGCAATATATGACCCTGGGATGAAGGAGAGAAATGAGCCCAGTGAGACGGCTGCGATGATGAGACCTCTTGTATTTGTCTCGAGGCCGCCGAGGAATTTGTTGACTATCGAAATGAATCAGTTAGCATTCTTTTTGTTCACGTGTTTTGGTACATAGGTTGCATCGTACATTCGGGAAGCACGAGAAGTCCATTGATCATGCTAGCACAATATCCAGAAGTGGCCGAAGCAGATAGCATAAATCCAATACCGAGGTTCAACTTCCGCAAACCACGATCTTTGATCCAGTTCTTGTTGGTATTGTTCTGCAGAACCACCTTAGGTTCCGAAGTGAGCGCCATAATTTCGACAGAGCAACGAAATCTCAATAAAGAAAAAGCTCCGAAACCCGTACTACTGGAGCTGTCAAGCTCGTTTTATTTAAAGGCTAAAGACTAATTGGCAAAAAAACCTCCGAATAGTAATCCGCCTCTACATTCCTGCCATTTAGCTAGGACTTGATCTCTCCGAGTAGGGTTACAGCTAAACTAAGGAGGTGGAATGTAGGGAGGAAAGTCAAATGATCGGATCACCGGACAATTCTTCTTCGTTTGCTCTGATCCAAGAGCTTTGCTGGATACACGCTTGTCAAGCATGCCTGCTAACGCGTGGTGATTGGAAGGGAGAGCTTGCAAGGATTTGAGAAGCTCGGTGCTTCAAGAATGTTCATAGCTCCCTCCTCACCTTTGTCCGCGGGGATCTTTCCCACAGTTGCCTAAATCTAGCTTAATTACTCAGAAAAAGAGAGGCTGTATGGATGCCCTTGATTTGTTCGATTCGCAATAGATCGACTAGGTAGAGACCTTGTCTCTGGGGAAACGCTGTAAGGAAGAGTAGTCCCCACGGAGCAAACGACTTTTTTCTTGCTTTGTTACCATTTTTTTATCAACTCGGTATAGCTCTATCTGCGCAACGTCACCTGTTATTTCAGAAAGCCAGTTTTGGGTGGCTCGTGAAATCGAGACGCGATAACGTGGAATGATGCCGTTGGGCTTCTGACGCGCTTAGCCCTACGCCAATCGGAAACTTACTTATTTTCCGCGCTGGTTACTGTATTCCCCCCTTCTTTTATTGGGAGAGGTCATAGCAGATTTGGGTTGGATAGACTTTCCTGGGATGCAAATATGACGATTGGCATGAACTCATTTGATCTCGAGAACTTGTCCAGACTGGGGAAGATCTGGAGATCTCTATAAAAGTTGACGTGTACCCAGATTTTGGAATTCTCGATTGTCCCTGTTTCAGTGTGTCACATAATCATTCTCAGGACAGCAGTAAGACGTATGAACTCATATTAACGTAGCGCTGCTGAGCGGTATGTTGCATCGGAACTGCAAATTAGGGCTTCCCGGAGACCTGGGGCTCCAGTGCTGCCGTGAGTGATGATTAAGCGTACACTTACGGCCTTACCTAGAGAGATTCACGTGTATTTACTTTCGCTCACTGTGGAATCAGTTTCAATACATGCCTGTCTTGGACATTAGTGTTGGGTAACAGACCATGGACCGTATTTTAATTGAATAAAATGGAGGCATTTATATATTTACAACATCTACGGGTCATACGGTTTGCTGCTAGCAGATTTTCCTCTCCAATGTCTGGATGAAGTAGAAACTCGGCAAACGACAGATGAAAAAGTAGAATAGAGGAGCGAAAATCTTGCGTTGAGGCACGTGCGTTGGCATGGAGGCTATCTAAATCCTTCAAAGAGGCAATGAGTAACCATAAAGATGTTAGTATCGATCACAGTCCATTCTCAAAAGATCGGCCGGCTCGTATAGAGGAGCGGGCCGAGTACGCCCTTGAGCCACTACTGAAGTTAAGGAAACAAATTTCCGACGGTCTCAGATATGTATTCAACCTAAAATAACCAGTTCACATGTGCGGAGAAAAATAAAATCTGGTACATGGAGCGATATAAATCCAAATCAGGCGTCCCTCTTCTTAGTCGTCGCAAACATCCCATATGGCTTCACACTGAAAGCACCATTGAAATTCTTTCCTTCGATATCAAGTGAATACCCCTTATCCGCCAACTCAAAATCAACTCTCTGAATAATACCGATGAGCGTGTGCAGTGACCACTCCCAAGCATAATTCTTGCCATAACAAACACGTTTGCCGTTTCCGAAACCCTTCTTTACTCCAATGGGAAGTCGGTCGTATGCCTCACCAAGCATGCGCTCAGGCTTGAAGGCATTAGGATTTTCAAAGACAGCAGGGTCTCGATTGACAGCAGACAAAATCGCGAGCACTGATTGACCCTTAGGCAATTCGTACTCTCCCCCTCCGAGTAGAACGGGTCCTTCAATAGACGGCAA